TAAAATTTTAGTTTAAAGAGAATAAAACCAAGCAAAATAAAATAGAATAAAGCCAATCAAAACAAACCAATGTAAGTGACACAAGAATTCAAAACAACAGGAAATCAACAATGGTTACCATAATGCTACTTGTTGTCTTCAAAATAGTTGCAGATACCCTCAGACATAGTAAAAATCAAACAACACAGAACAAAATTAAGAACCAATAAAAACAAAACAATGAATACAACAAATGACTTGAAAATAATAAATCTAAAACATTACCATAATATATAGTTGTCTTTGAAATAGCTGCCCACTCCATTGGATATAATAAAAATCAAACAAAAGAAGGCAGAATAGTGGGGATTTAGCTCAGTGGTGCCTGGTAAGTGTGAATCATGAGTTCGATGCCCAGTACAAAACAAACAGACAAACAAAAACAACAAAAAAAACCCCAGAGTAAAACCAACTGAAAAAAACAGTGAAAATGATACAAAACAATATAATAGGGAGTTAACAATGGCTGCTACTTTCAGAAAGAAATACCCCATAGATACTACATTGCATATTGTTATCCTTTGACTAGATGATCAGACTACCAGTTTTAGATCTGCAAAGTCAATGAAACACTAAATACTACAAGCATTAAATTATATTTTACTTCAATAGCTGTCATCACAGCCTGCATTACTCCAGGAATCAGCTGGTTGCTCATAGCTGGGGTAGAGGTTTGGCTCCTCTTGTTTCCCAGCCAGTGAAAAGGGCTGGGAACTGACTGTCCTCTCAGTGGCCTACAGATGGCGCCGATTCAGAAGAAGGGCTTGCTTCTTGTTGACTTCTTCTGTTCCCCAGCAGTTCAAGAATGGTGATGGCTCCTGGGAAAAGGCTGTCTCCTCAGGGGCCTGTGCATGGTGTTGTTTCACAAAGAGGGCTTGCTTCCTTTTGACTTATTGTTCTCTTCCCCTGCAGTCCATGAATGGCTAGAAAATAATTTTTTTTTTTTTTTTTTTTTTTTTTTTAGAGAAATAAAATCTTTACTGGTCTCTGTAGGAGAGGAAGATGGGGGAGGAGAGATACATTTTTTGTACTTTTCAGTTTAACTTTGCTGGGTTGTGTAATTTGCGATTGTTTTCTCTTCATAGTCTGAAACAGACTCAGTAGAGTTTTCTTATTTTAAAGTAAAATATGCAACACACTTCAGTTCAAAATTGCCTTTGTGATTTTTAGAAGACAATAGCAATGCCTGATGTAACCATATCAACATTTATGCTTTTAGTTTCATGAACAAGGTTACTGCTGAAGGTTTCTTCACAAAATTATTTATCTTCAGGTATGCTTCAATAATTATTACTTCTTTTAGTATATGCAGTTAGAGCCATTCTGATGACATGCAAACCAACCTCTTAGGGGCTGTGTCTACCAACTCAAGGATTTAGAATATAAAAAATAAATTATGGCATGAGAGCAGAGATAAAGATTGCTCTTAGTCACTATTTATAAACAAATAAGTACTATAGAAACAAATTATTTGATATTTCTAGCAACTTTTTCAAATTGAATGATTGTGAGTTCACAGTGAGATTCTTTCTAAAATACATTAATCATTGCAATGAGTTTTTATTTTGGTTTTACTCCTAGCCAATTGTAGTAACAGGACAAAAATAGCAATGAATATGCAAAAGCATATTATTCCTTAGTGGCATGCTAAAATACAGTCAAAACAGGCATCTATCAATATATGTATTATACGTGAATGGCAATTAAATAAGCCCTACCCACTTTTCAAGTTGCTTTCAAATTACTTTGCATGTTAACTATGACAGTCAAAAACAGAAATATGGATTTCAAATACTAACATAGAAAATACATAGATAGTTAATATATACTACTTTGGAAACTAAATTAAATTTTCATTGAATGGAGGGAACAAAATATTTTTGGTATGTAAATCTTCAGTACTTTTGCTCAGAAAACTACTTTGAACACAGTTATGCAAGTGCATATATAGGTAATGGTAGATATTAAGTAGATACATGAAGAAAAGATGAACAAAAATTATCTACATTTTTATTGCTCTTTTAAAATTTACATAGATGAACCTTTTGATTTAAATCCATGTGTCTGTGTATATTTATCTAGCATCCCATTCACCTAAGCTGCTCATCACCTTTCATTTGTTGTAACCCAGTCTCAGAAAACTACAATATAATATGATGAAATTTATCAGAGTTTTTAAGATGTGTTTAATTTTTCTTTATTTTAGGCTGAAAATAGACATTCATGTAATTCTTAAGCTAAAAGTAAAGATACCCAGTTCTATAATTTAAAGCAAGATTAAAAGGAGCACAAAAGCTGTGAAAATCCATATAATAATTATGCTCCTGAAGCACATCTAAACAATGAATAAAAGTAGGCTACAGTTAAAAGACAAGAATTGACAAACTGAGTTATAATCATTTTTTGTATTCCAGAGATCTTTTTTTCTGTCTGTACTCTTGCACTGTAATGTCATTTGGCTACATGACTTATAATACTAGTTAAATAATGATAAAGTCGAGATTTGTCATTCCAACCTAGAGCTTCCTCCAAACTCTTAGATTTATCTATAGAATCCCCTGCTCACAAACAAAATACTGTATTATATGATTATTCTAATAAGAAAGAGGTCATGAATTTTAATCTTAGGATGGCAAGTGAAACTTTCTATGACCTATAAAGAATGAAGACAGTTGAAAAATTGACCTAAGGCTGGTAGCTTTGAGACAGAAAGAAGTCTAGGACACTTGAGAACAAAAAATTCACCCCTGTGATCATACCTGAGAATACCCAGGCTACAAGTTGTGTTCCTGTGGTTGAGCAGAGGGAGGATCCTCTGGAACCCTTTTAAAAAGTTTGATCTTTATCACTGTTATGATGAGAGGTCTGTAGAAGACATTAAGCGAGGCCACTCGATGGCTGAATTTTTATTTGGAAAATACTCTTCAGCAAGTAAAATAACTCTGACCCATCTACAGCATTAAACGTCACAGAAGGTGTATTGTATTGCTTCAGCAATTCCAGTTAGCTATGTGGAGGTTTTTTGGAACTACATTGGCTGTTAATAATCTACTTGTTTTAGAATATTACTATTTTTAACATGGAAACACAGCATTTTCATCAATAAAATAAAACCATACTACAAGGAAATATTGTTTTTACGGTATTTTAGATATAAGTTTTCAGTGAGATGTACTTTTCAGGAGTCATGATTTATCTATTTAATATAAATTTAAATAAGAGTAGTATAGTGGGGGCTGTGAATACCTATTAAATGTTTAAAAGACCTTGGTTCATGTAATATTCTCAGATAAGACTTCAAAACTCTTTTAATTCAGTTTCATTTCACTGCAGTAGGTTACTAATTGAAATAAAGAAAAAAAATTGCACACGATTAGCAAAGCAAATCTGCTGAGGTTTTCTATAAATCTGGCTTGGTGTTGTCTAGTATTTAATTAAACAGTGCACAAATAAAATGTTCTGTTTAATTTTCATTCTGCAGTTCAATACTGTAAACTATTCAGAGCATAATTAAAAGTCCTGAAATCTCCTAGGAATGGTATTACCAGTAAACGCCCAACCTATGAAATATAGAAGCCTTCTTATTACTCTGCAAAGTTGTGTATGTTACAAGTTTTCTTTGCTTAATCTGACTGAGATGAGAAAACCCCAGCTGGCATCCAAGCTACTAGCTTTAAAAATTCTCTACGCATCTGAGCTCTGGGACACCTTCATTAAAGTTAATATAGGAATTTCGCTCTATTTTATTGAATGTCATTGAATTTTCTCTGTGAAAGAACTTATTTTTGAATAATATGAATACACTCCAATGTCACCAAGTAGAATTATTGTCAAATTTCAGGTTTATTGTTCACTTTGAGTGTCAAGGGTAAAAACAAACACAATAGAAGTTTTAAACGAAAAACAAAAATGTTATTTAGGAAAAATGCTGTTTTATGTATATGTTTAAAAAAGACATCTATTTCTTATCTCAGTAGTTATTAAAGGATCAACAGTTGTAATATTTAACTGAAGTAACTATGTACCAGAGATTTAGTTATTTCACTGCTGTGGAAAGAATCTGATTACTGAATGGTAAACACATCAACCATTTGCTTTACCAACCACAAAGCAAAGAAAACAAATGTAGAATTAATAATGTATTGTCACAGTGTTCATACAATTACGCTAGGTATCCTGACTTTCTCCTTGAAAACCAGGTTATTTTCAGAAAACAGGCCTACTTGATATTTTGAGGCAATGCATTAAAATGTTTTATGCTTTGGATGAAATCTTGCTTTTTATGAATGATTTTCTTTTATCTGAAATACCTTAATATATGATCATTTTATTAATAAATAGAAAACTGGAAAGTTTGATCTCACTGGCTTATTTTCTGAAAGACTGCATTTTTCTTTTGATTGTCAAATCCAAACTGATCTTGCAGTTGAAAAATTATGATTGAATATCCCATATTTATCCAGTATTAGGGTGGATATTACTTGCAGATTGTTAGTGGCTGTGAATGAAGGAGAGAAAGAGAGTTGCACAGTATTTCATAGATGTTTTTTATTTCAGTAAATGACAGCGAGGAGCCAGTGCTATTGATTTGGATGCTGACTTGCAAGTTGCATATTTAAAGAAATTCAATATCATAATTGATTTAGGTTAAACAACTGAGTATGCATAGTAGTCTATCATAATCAATTGTCACATTCATGGACTTGAAGGCTAAAATGAGCATATAGAAACTTCTCTGCATTCTGCTTAGGAATAATGTAGTAAGGTGGAAAAGTTCAGGGGAAATGCTCTGTAAACATGCTCTGATAATTCATCTTGGTGGTAATGTTTTACAGAAATGCCTTCCCCCAAACTGCCCCATGATTTTATTTTTATGTGAACCTCAGTGGAAATTAATAACTATGTCCTGGAATCAGTATCTGTTCCATTAGATTAGTAATTGTAAATCTCTTTCTCTTTAGGATAGATGAGAGGAAAATTATAGGTAAATGAAGACTGTGATGGGTAAGTTTGATTTTATCTACTGGATGGTCATGGTGAACTTCCTAGGGATTTGATGGAGCACACTTTGTGTTTCTGGCTGGGTCACGGAGGCATGACCCGGGGTACTGAATCTCGTTCCTCGTCTCTTACTCATGAGTGCTATTCTGCTGCTCCATTTCTCGCATTCTCTTCCATCCTGATTTCTCTGCCTTGAAGACAAATAGCGATGGATTGAATCTTCTGAAACCGTGAGTCAAATGAACCATTTCAATCTTTAAATTGTGGGTGTATGCTCAGCAACAGAGAAACTATCTAATATAGAAATATAGAGAGCTGTTTTATTAAATATAATTTTAGTTGTTAATGTTTAGATTCTCTCTTAGAAAACCATCACTTATAAAATTTGGAATATAATGCAATCAGTTTAGCATTTACCATTTTACCTAACTTGTATCATACGTGTAGATTGGCATCCCTGGCAGATTTCTGAACATGTGGCCACTGGATTAGGTGGTTTTATTTTTCTGGGTCTCTATCTTATTTATTTAAAAAAGTCTATATTATTGATAGCTATGCAACTGGTTTTTTTCTGACTAAACAAGATACAGATTCTCATGAGCTTGTATGTATTTTTTATATGAGTTCTGTGTTCATTTTATTACTGATAAGTATGTGACTACGTAGATTTACTAAATGAACTTTAGGGACGTTATCAGTCCACTTGATTTTCTATTTAAAGTGGGATTCTTACATTGTCTGGCATTACAGCAGTATATTTTGCTGCCAAATAGATTTCTAAAGTGGTTGTTCCATTGTGCGTGATAAATGTATGAGGGTATAGAGTGTTCTACATTTTCACCAGTTATTTTGTTTTATACATTTTAAGTGTCTTTCATATATTGTTTTTTTTTAAATTTTATTTAAGAGGAAAAAGAGAAAAACACAAAACAAAACAAAGCGGTGTAAGGGTACACGTAATACAGAACTACAAAAAAAAACATAACAGTAAGAAATCATCTGTTAATAGATTACATATTATCATCTTGAAAATAGTTGCTCAAATCACAGTATCAAAGAATACAAGGTGGACATTCAAACAGGGAGACTGCAAACAGCTGTGTTCAATGATCCAAAAACATTGATATAGTCAGCTATTTAACACCCCTAAGCACACTTGCTGTTATATCTGTTAGAGCTCTTTTTATTTTTTTTCCCTCTCTTTTTTACAACAAAATTTACACATTTTGGATTTTATTACTCCTTAGGGCTTACTACTTTTTTTTGGGGGGGTGGAAGAATACAGTCAAATATGGCAAAACGAAGCTGTCAGTCAAAACTAAGGATAGACATAGCACATGATGTAAAACAGAGTACAAGGTTATCAACGATGGTTATCAACAATGTCTCTTGTTTCCTTAAAAAGAATTGTCTATCTCATTAGATATTATAAAGTTGGACAAAACAGTAGAGAACAAGACCAATAAAACTTAGGCATTGTAAACATTACAGGACTTCCATAGAAGACAATAGTCAAACCAGAATGGGCATCTTAATGAATCTTATTGCCTTCAAAGTAGTTGCCTATATCCTCAAACTTGATACTATCATACAGAATGGAACAGAGTCTAATCAGTCAAAACAAGATCGTGGGAGTATTACAGGACTTCAAAACAAGTTAATAGGAAGTCAAAAAGAGTTACTATATGTATATATATATCTCCTAATTTTTAAAATTTTTTCCCTAAAAGTAAGACAAACATACGAAATGATTAAATAATTTTTTTAAAAGAATAAGGGGGAGATTGAGATAAAACAGGACATAACAATATAACAATAGAGGTCAAAGCATGACTGTTTCAGCAACCTAGTACTTCACCACCATATAACCCAACTTAATAGTAGTTACCATAGTGTATGTCATTTTCCTTGAAATATTTGGATAAAACTTCATATACTCTAGCTTCAAATATTTCCGTATCAAGAAGCTCAGAATAAAGCCTTTCTAATTAATGAGTGAAAACTTTATAAGGCTTCAAGGCCACCTAATGGGGAATCATGATTACCACATATTTTTATATATTTGAATCATTACTTACATTAGGGACACTTCGGTATTCACACATGCGAGATTGATTTATTTCACTTATGAGTATGGTCTCAAGCTGCGCCCATTTATTGATAAGTATCTCAATGTGATCCTTCTTTATAGCTGAATAATACTCCATTGTATAGAAATACCACAACTTTTTTATCCATTCCTCAGTTGATGGACACTTGGGTTGTTTCCAAGATCTGGCGATTACAAATTGTGCTGCTATAAAACATAGGTGCACATAGATCATTGTGGTATGATGCTTTCAGTTCTTCTGGGAATATGCTTAGAAGTGGAATACTGAAATAAATGGGATTTCCAATCCCAACTTTTTGAGAAATCTCCAGACAGATCTCCACAAAGGCTGTACCAGTCTACACTCCCACCAGCAGTGCAGGAGAGTTCCTTTTTCCCCACAGCCTCTCCAGCATTTGTTGTTGTTGGTTTTCTTGATCCTGGCCATTCTTTCAGGAGTGAGATGGTATCTCAGTGTGGTTTTGATTTGCATTTCTCTAATGACCAATGATGATGAGCATTTTTTCATGTACTTATTTGCCATTTGCATTTCTTCATCTGAGAATTGTGTATTCAACTCAGATGCCCATTTTTGGATTGGATCTTTGAATTTTGGAGGTCTGAGTTTTTTTAAATTCTTTATATGTTTTAGACAAGAGGCCCTTGTCTGAGAGAGAGTTCACTAAAATCTTTTCCCAGTTTGTGGGTTTTCTTTTCACTATGCTGGAGATTTCTTTTGACATGCAGAAACTTTTTAATAAGAAATGGTCCCAGTTATTGATTCTTGGAAGTATTTCCTGTGCAGTTTGAGTCCTGTTCATGAATTCTTTACCTACTCCTATGTCTCCAAGGTTTCTACCTAATTTGTCTTCCAATAGATTTAGTGTTTCTGTTTTAATATTCAGATCTTTGACCCATTTAGATTTTAATTTAGTACATGGTGATAGACATGGGTCTAGCTTTAGTTTTCGGCAAATGGAGAGCCAGTTTTTCCAGCACCATTTATTAAAGAGACTGTCGTACTTCCAGTGAACCTGCTTGGCTCCTTTATCAAAGATAAGGTGGTTGAGTGTGTTTGTAGTTGTGGTTGTATCTTCTAATCTATTCCATTGATCTTCGGTTCTGTTTTGATTCCAATACCATGTGGATTTTACTACTGTTGCTTTGTAGTATAACTTCAAGTCAGGGATTGTGATGCCTCCTGCTTTGTCTTTGCTGCTTAGAATTGCCTTTGCGATTCTAGGTCTCTTCTGGTTCCAGATGAAATTTAGGAGTGATTTCTCTGGATCTATAAGGTATGTTGATGGTATTTCTATTGGGATTGCATTGAATCTGTATAACAGTTTTGGGAGAATGGCCATTTTCACAATGTTTGTTCTTCCTATCCATGAGCAAGGGATGTCTTTCCATTTTCTGAGATCATCTTCAATTTCCTTTTTCAGTGTAGTATAATTTTCACTGTATAAGTCTTTCACTTCTTTCATAAGAGTAATTCCTAAATATTTCATTTTTTTGGTTGCTAATGTGAATAGTCCAGTTTCTCTTATTTCCCTCTCTGTGATTTTGTTGTTCGTGTATAGGAATGCTATTGATTTCTGAGTATTGATTTTGTATCCAGCCACATTACTGAATTTATTTATTATATCTAAGAGTCTTTCAATGGAGTTTAGGGGGTCTTCTATGTAGAGTATCATGTCATCTGCAAACAATGATAATTTAACTTCTTCTTTTCCTATCTTTACCCCTTTTATTTCTCTTTCTTGCCTAATTGCTCTGGCTAGTACTTCCAGTACTATATTAAATAGGAGTGGTGATAAAGGACATCCTTGTCTTGTGCCCAATTTTAAAGTAAAGGCTTTCAATTTTTGGCTATTTAGTATGATGCTGGCTGTTGGTTTGTCATAAATGGCCTTTATTATATTGAGGTAAAGACCATTTATTCCAATTTTCTGTAAAGTTCTTATCATGAATGAATGTTGGACCTTATTGAAGGCTTTTTCTGCATCTATAGAAATGATCATGTGATTCTTATTTTTGGCTTTATTGATATAGTGGATTACATTTATTGATTTGCGTATGTTGAACCATCCTTGCATTCCTGGGATGAATCCCACTTGGTCATGGTGTATAATCTTGATGATTTGCTGCATCCTATTTGCCAATATTTTATTGAGGATATTTGCATCTGTGTTCATTAGGGAGATGGGTCTATAGTTCTCTTTTATAGTTGGGTCTTTCTCAGGTTTTGGTACTAGAGTAATATTTGCTTCCCGGAATGACTTAGGAAGGATTGCTTCCCTTTCAATTTCATTGAATAGTTTGAGGAGTGTCGGCATTAGGTCTTCTTTGTATTTCTTGTAGAATTCTGCAGTGAATTCCTCTGGGCCTGGGCTCTTCTTGGTGGGTAAGGACTTAATTACATTTTCAATTTCATCAGCAGAGATTGGGTTATTCAACAGTTTTACATCCTCTTGATCTAGCTTTGGTACTTCATATGCTTCTAAGAATCTGTCTATTTCTTCTGTGTTATCAAACTTTTGAGAGTAGAGGTTTTCGAAATAGGTGTTGATGATCTTCTGTATTTCTATTGGGTCTGTAGTGATTTCTACTTTTTCATTTCTTATTGCATGAATTTGAGCTTTTTCTTCCCTTTTTTTTAATAAGGTTGGCTAGGGGCTTATCGATTTTATTTATTCTTTCAAAGAACCAACTCTTTGATTCGTTGATTCTTTGGATTGTTTTCTTAGTCTCTATTGCATTGATTTCTGCTCTGATTTTTACAATTTCCTCTCTTCTTTTGGCTTTGGGCTTGACTTGCTCTTCTTTTTCTTGCTGTTTGAGGTGTAGCATCAAGTTATTTATTTGTATTCGTTCTGTTTTCCTGATGTGGGAACTCAGTGCAATAAATTTTCCT